ATATATATATATATATATATGTACGACTATCAAAATAAATTTTATATTAATATATTAATTTCACTGAAGAAAATCAACATGAAATAATTTGAGAAACTATCATTAAAATATGCATCGATCTACTTGTTTTATATTGCTGATATTTACTTGTATAATATTTTCTTACATTAATATTGAGTAAGTATATATCTCGTAGAATTCTGTAAATGTGTTTAAAAGAGAACATAAACATTTACGGTATTTGCGTTATAATATACAACGCAGTAAAACTCGGATTCCTCTGAAACGCTTTAATAATCTCTATTAAATAAATTTAATTGGAAAATTTTTTTACTCAATTTTTAGCACTTAATAAAACTTGATTACACCAACAATATAAATTAAATTAACATGATTATATATTTGTTTTTTCTAATTTATATACGTAATACAGAAAAAAGTATAACCAATTAATGTTCATTTTAAGCGAACGTGTTCATGTTTGCGCAATTGTGTGAGAAAAGTATTTTCTAAAACACAATGAAAATTTAGAGTTTTCAATGATGCTTATATGAGTTCGTATTTGATGTGGCTACAAACTGTGTTTTGTTAGCGCAACTCAGAACGATAGGTCAACAGCAAGCTACTAACGGGTAAAGTTTATCGGCTATTAAACTAACCACTTGATGCCTGAAAACCGGCTTTATGTAGGGCTTACATTTTGCCCGGTTTGTGCAATTACCCGATTCGCGGCGAACTGTTTGTACCGCGCAACAAAAGAGCTTACTCTCGGGTCAAGTTTGACGTCACGCCAGAAGTTTGAACAAGACTGAAGATAATTAGTTGAAATATCGTCAACACTCGATATTGACTAATAATCTGCATATATAACTTGTATATTTCTCGGAAGTGAAAAGCGAGACATTCTACTGAATAATTTCTATTTCTATTTTGGTTGTGCACGAGAAAAAGGTATTAGAAATTCTAGACATATCGATTTGACCTCCCGTCGAATATCGCGATTTAATTGGCAATACTGAATAACCGTCATAAAAGAAAAACCGCAACAATTTTGTGGTCGGCGAACATACGATTATATTTTACATCGAGTTCTTCGATACGTGAATTTTTTCATGTCGGTTAAAATCGAGCTCAATTATTTTACAAATTCGACGTTTGAAACATACGTTTGTAACATTTTTTTTATTATCCATTTTATCTATTTTTTTTTATTATTGGTTTTGTGCGGAAACAATTTTTAATAGCACGATTTTAACGCATTGAAGCGTTTCAGAGATCCAATTTTTTTATTATGGCATTTATATTCGAAATATGTTCTCTAACAGCTATTAGTTACTTTCTCTTATAATTTTTAACAAGAGATTTTTATAAATTTGAGATATTTAATGGTCAATATAGTTTTATGTAGAACCGAGGTATTAATTTGACTCCGTTTTGTCTTTAATAACCTTTGATTTGTTGCAATTATAATTACATTATTAGTTCAATAATATAAATTTGACACAATTAAAATTTTGCAAATATAATGCTGTGTTGATCATATTTCGCTTTTGTAGAACGTGCATGTTCATATCGAAAATTTGTACATTACATTATTAATTATGAGTTATTTACACCTATGGCTAATATATAAAGTAGCAAATAAATATACATACAGCTTTCGTTAACTTTGGCAATAAGATTGTTGCTACCACGATGTAAAATAATCGTTTTATTATGGAAGTTTGAAAATGGCTTTTGCTGCACCTGTCAAGCTTCGATGCAGTAATAGATATTACGAATGTTTAAGCGCTATTGCTATTACGCGCATAGATCTCATCTGGTAGCAGCAGCAACACGATTACGTAACAACACAATGGATCAAATTCGTCAATAAGTGAACAATGTTGCTTGTCGCGCGTATATCGGTAGATAATAATACAATATTTTACATATTATACAAATAACAAGTAAATTTAACGTAATAGATGCAATTTAATCGCTGTGAATTAATTAGAAAAATAAGCTGTCAGGAGTTTTTTAATTTTTAATTTTTAATTGTACTGAAGAAAAAAGCCATTGTATGAATTTTGGATTTTACGTATAAACGTGTAGACAGATAGGATATAATTATCTTTTATATATTATTTTTTCTTTGTTGTTTTTGCGGAATCTTTGTTCATTAGAGTCTTTATTTCTCAGTTTAACAAATGGAAACTGACAAAATTTTTACAAGACATTTTTGTGAATTTTACTTGTAAATATTAATATATAAATTATAATATACATATATATATTATTTTATACACGTACGCGGTAGCATTGTGCAATATGTTCGATTATATAAACAAAAGCTGCATTCTGAAAATTATGAGAAGAAATGGTAAACACTTGTCTATTTTAAAAATATTTTTGAGACTAAAACGCATTTTTTACTTTATTGAAATAATAATAAACAAATTTATTGTTGGATTTGTTATTGAAACGAGAATACTCTAAAAATAATTTTAAATATTTAATTAATTTAATATTTATATTTAAAAAATGCTGCTGCGTATTATAGAATAAAATTTGCATAGAAAAAT